TTGTCGACAGTATCTGTCGACAAAACTTCTGTCGACAAAAGCCTGTAGTCTAGACGTACCACAATAGTCCAGGGTTAGGGCACTCAACTGACATATGGACAATTCTGTTTCATGTCTGTATTGTTTGATTGCTGTAACTACAGGGTTAGTTTTTCTTGTTGAAGTTATGCCAATTCATATACACTATTAACTGTGCTCCAGAGAGCTTGACTGTATAACCTAGTAATTAAGGCACTCCCGGGGGATGTGGGAGGCTATTCTAAATCAGCCAGATCAGGAACTGGAAACTAGGATCTCCCATATTCCAGAAGAGTATCCTAACTACTAGGGTGGGGATCTGTCTATTCCTCTTCACCCTGTCACCCACACTGAAATTCCAGCCTGAACCTTCCTGATAAAAATTTAGTCAAAACTGGTCCAATTCCTATGAAAAGCTTTGATTCTGACATATCAACATTTTTCACCAAAAAATTCGCAACCATCTCTAGGTGTGAACATTCTCGGTTCCAGTGCCTGATCCAGGTCAGAACTACAATTTCAGAGAAAGCCCTGCTGACCCTTCAGTAGATCATACTTTTGGTGTACAGAATTTTCAGGGAATTTAGCTGCAAAGTTCTATCAAGTTTTATTTTAAAAGGTGTATGATATGGTCAACTTTGAGCAGACTTTCACAAGGATAACAAACAGGCCCAGCCTTAGGGCAAGGTGAGTTGCCTTGCGTCTCATGTCTTCAGGGCCCATTGCTGCCCGGTGCCCGCCTGGCCGCTCACTCACTGACCTAGTTGGCAGCTGCTTGGCTGCACGGTGCAGCCACCTGCCTTGGGACCCTCAAACTCTTTGGCCGGCCTGATAACAAAAGGTGTATTCTTGAGACAAAGGGCACCCTCTGTCAAATTTCAAATCCTTGCTGCTCAGTAGGGTTATTTTATGCCATCTCAAAGAAAAGGTCACTAGATTTTTTTTAACATGGCAAAACATATTTTTTCTAATCTCACTCTATGAAATGAGCTGCACCTTTTCAACTGAAATTTTCCAGAATATTTCAGTCTGTCTCAGGAAGGGAAAATTTCAGATCAAATGATAACAGTTTGGCAACTTATTAGCAACCAATTGTATGATAGGAAAGTGCTGGGCAACCGGAATAATATGCATTATTACAAATTTCTCCTATAATAATACAAATTAACTTCTTCACATCTACCCTACTTTCCTTCCTGTTCTGGGTTATGCAGCTGTGGATTCATCTAGTTTTATGTTAAGTAAGATTTACAATAGAGGCCATTCACACTGTTTTCAGAGCAGTGTAAGTTCTAATTTTGCAACAAGGTTCATGCAGTCACTATTTGTTTCAGTGAGGCACTGTATAGGAGCATTGTCTCTCTCTTGAACACACCTCATTGTAAGCATATGCCATAGCTTGTATAAGGACCTTTGGAGAAGGTCTTAACAACTATATTAAGATATAATCTGTCCCCATAGGTCCTTATATGTTCTAAAACCATGAGCTTAAAATTAGGTGTATGCAAGGACAGTGGTCCTATATAGAGTCTCACTGTAACAAACAGAACCTAATTGCTGAATTAGGACTTAAATTGCTCAGAAAACATTGTGAATTAGATATTCTATATAAAATGTCAAATGAGGCTCCTCCTTGACTCTGGTTTCTGAGAATTACTGTAGCACTGATTGCTAAAAAGAGGCATGACTTAACCATTGTTAAAAATTTACTCCAGAGCACAAAAAAGAGGAAAAATGTTCTTGAAAATTGATGTGTAACTAGAAGGATCTCCACCACTTAATGCTTGCTGGAGTGTGGCATGGCACACTTTGACAGTGAAATTAACAGTGTTTTTTCTATTTAAATTTAAAGATCCCATCCATTTAATCTGTTTTTATATTGCTGAGATAGGATCTAATGTACATGTAAATGCTCTGAGTAAAGGATTGCTTATTTTAGGCTTTTTGCTTTGAAAGGAATAGATATTGATATTGCGGTAAAGCAATAGCTTTCTTTAAGCATGTAATAGTAACTTGATAATACTCATTACTCCAGTATCAATCATGTATTACTTAACTAATTTACTTGAATAACATACAAAATTATCTATTCCAGTAGAAGATTTAAACTATCCTTTCTAAATATGCCCATGGCATAATGCAATATACACTTTCAGGTATAGAAGTCATTCGAAGCCTGATCATACAATTAACATAGGGTAGTCCTCACATTTAATGGGTCTATTCATGGTTGTAAAGTTAAACATGCAAAACCCTGAGGTGAGGTTGGGAGAGAGGGAGAATGTATTAAATGGAAAGCAAGCAAACAAAGTAAACTAAATTTTCCAGAAGCACAGAAAGGTGAAGTTCAAGTTCATGTGGTTTTGGATCTGTTCTTCTGTAATTTGAAGTAATTCACTGTGTGATGTTTGGACAACTGTCCTGAATAAAACAGGTGCATTAGAACCTGTTAATGTAACACAACAGGCAGAATTGATCCTGGGACATCTGGAGCTTAGTGCATGAGCTAAAAGCCATCTGGCTCTCTATTAAGGATGTAGAGCAGCATGGGTCACACCACTTCCCATGGCTCCCCTTGGCTGGAAATCGCAAACCAGAGCCAATGGAAGCTGTGAGGCTCCGTGGCTGTGGAGCCTTTAGCTAAACAAAGCGGAGCGGCTTATTAGCAGCTTTCCAGAAGATGGGACAGTGCATCACACCCACTAGGTGTGTGGGTTACATCAACTTGACAGCTGTTGCTAGTTTTGGTTTTTCCCTCATGCTCTCTCTAGGAGTGGTATTGAATATTCACAAGACATTTGATACAGTATCAGAAGCCACGCATCTTAAGGAGGTCTTTCAGTGCACAGTGGAAGGGACTTCATAATGTTGTTGCCTTTTGTCCCATCTAGGAGGAGAAAACTTAGCAGAACCAATCAGTTGCCTGGAGTTTTATATATGAACTTCCAGCAAGGTTCCAGAGTCATTTCAGAGAAGTCTCACTTAGGAACTAATGAAGTGTGGCTGAGTGTATTTAGGCTCAGCACGTAAATGTGGGGCTGGAGTGTAGTTAGGCTTAGTGTAACAGTGACAGACAGAACTAAACCTGGGACCTCCGGAGCTTTTGTGCATGTTGAGCCTCGACTACATGAGCCAAAAGCCAGCTGGCTCTCAGCTTATGCTGTAGAGCAAACTCATTATTTTCTCAGTAAATTCTGTGAGTGCCACTAGATGGGACCAAACACCATACCCAGTAGGAATGTGGGTTATATTAGTGTGTTAGCGCGTGGCTAGAATGCTCCCATGGGATAAGATGTGTTGTTTTTCTGACCAGAATCAGTTCTCAGGTGTAACAAAAGCAAATCTGTTTGCAGTTATTTTACTTTTTTAAAAATTATTCTTACCATGGTATGGTAGGAATGCAGCAGCCAAGGAGTTTTGCCAAGTCTGTGTTGCTTTGGTTAAACCGGAAGTCCTGAAATAAAGCTGAAACAGAAAGAAGGTGGAAAAATATTTAAACCTCAGACTCCTATGAATTCTTTCTATGGCTATGTCTAGACTACACCCCTCTGTTGGCAGAGGGATGTAAATGAAGCACTTTGAAAGTGCAAATGAAGTGGGGATTTAAATATCCCATACTTCATTTGCATAATCACGTCATGGCACTGTTTTTTGAGGAGTACAGGATCTTTCAAAAAGGCACCTTGTTGTTGAAAAACTGTGGTTTCAGTTTCAAAATGGCTCTTGTTCAAAATAGTGCCATGATGTGATTATGCAAACGTAGTGTGGGATACTTAAATCCCAGCTTCATTTGCTCTTTCGAAGTGCTACATTTACATCCCTCTGCTGACAGAGGGGTGTAGTCTAGATGTACCCTATAACAGCTCAGGCTGTGGACCTATTGTGCTGATAAATAAGACCTCTCTCCATCTTTGTTCAAAGCAAGTTCACTTTGCTACTCATACTATCTTTGAGCAAAGCAAATTGGGAAAGCTACTGAAATATTACATATCACATACACGCGACCTTATCCTAAACAGTGATGACTGCAGGAATGGGTCAGACTTGTAATTATAATTTATTAGTTGTAGGGTCTTTGTGCTTTTGAACACCAGTCACTGATCTGGATCCCATTGTGCTGATAATGGGCCCTGTGCTGTTCTCTGTTTGTGATACAGGGGAGTCTATATCTCCACAGTGGTGGCGGTGTGTTGCATTCTTTCCTCATTCCTTGACCTTCTAGAAGCTTCTCTGTGGGGTTTCAGTTCCATGGAGTGTCATCACTACTTTTCTTGAGTCAACTCTGCTTCTCAAACCCATGTATGAGAAGTATGATTGTATCAACTTTCACTGATTTGCCTCTAAATGTTGAGAACAAATGCTGAGTTTGGATTAGGTTGGGAGTCCAAGGTAAATGTAGCTGGATAGTCAGTCCTTGGCAGTAGGGCTTCAAAGGGAGCAGTGGGAAGGGGCACTGCATAGCTGCTTCTGAAGGGGAAAACTCTATTCCACTGACAGAAGAATTTCTAGGAAAATGTGAATTAGAACTTGTTTTCTCTCTCCCTTCCTCAGTTATTTTGGAATATGTCACTGTAATGATTTTTGCAGCAAGGGCTTGGAATTCTATAGGGATTTCTTTTCACAATGCACTTTGCTGTTAGTCAGATGATAAAATAATCATCACAGTGGATATATTCACTGACCATCTCTTTCATGTGTTCTTGAGTTTATACACATTTCTTAAAATAAATAAATAAAACGAAGTACTTTCTAAATCCTGGTGCTGAAAACAAAGGTGGCTTTTAGAGATAATCCCCAGTGGAATGACTTTCAGCAGAATAATGCTTTGTCTTTTTTATTGACAGGTTTTAGCTACTTTATGCCTCTCTGTTTGCTCACATCAACCTTGTTATTTTTTACTTTACAAGAAAGCAAACAGCCTGCAAATCTTTTCTGCAGACAAGTCAATACATTTTTATACTTTCTGGTGTTTTTATTTTCAGGAAAGTTCATGTGGAGAGGTTGGGCATGAAGCCAGATAGCCTGGAGGTAATTCCTAGAGCTGTGGTACACTAAGGACTTCTGTGAACAAATCCCTCCAAATGGTGAGCACACTGTTGCTTGTCTAAAGAATTTGTATTCCTCAGAAAGAGGACTCATGATCTGAGATTTTTCTCCCCCCATGCACTGCATTTTGCTCAGGTCCTTTACTGGAAGAGAATTAAGTTGGAGAAGGTGAGCACTGGTGGAAGATTGGCTTTTTGAAGGTTTTTAAAGAGGACAGTATCTAGTAGCATTGTGTAATTAGGGAATGACAGAGTGAGATCTTGCAGGTGGGGCTGCAAAAAGGACAATGGCTGATCATTTTATTTAAAAAAATATTTAAATTTGTATCTTTATATGCTGCTGATTTGGCAGCTTGATGGAGGAAATGCACAAGACATTTGATACTTTAGACATTTCTTACTTAAGATATGTGCAGACATTTCGGTGATATATAGCTGGCCTTTGGAGGAAATCAAAGGCTTATAGAGAAAACTATAACTGAAAAGAGGAACCAGCCAGAGAGTCTGCAACTGCCTCTACCTTCTGGAATCAGACAAATCAGGGACTGCTGCACTGATAGGAAGGGAAGTAAAATGGGGCCAGCATCAGCCTGGAATATCCGGAGCCATAATTATGAAGGAAGACTGCTTCAAAGCATAGGATAGTAGGATCTAGGTAGTGGTCCCTCACCATGCGATTAGGGGGTAGGGGCTTGCTAAGAAGAACCAACCAGAAATTCCAACAGAAGCAGCCAAAGCAGAGATCTTCAGACATTCAAAATACTTTCTACCCATTTGATTCTTCTCCACCCCGTGTTGATTGGCTGTTAATATCAGTCTTCTCTCTCCCTTACAGTCTCTTCATCACCATATCACTCTATACCTGCACTCCTACCTTCTTCTTCTATGCCATATCACTTTCCCCATATTCAGTGTCTCTCTCTTCACTTTTATTAACATTTAGCTGGTATGCCCCCCAAAACAAGACCATTCAACTTCTCCCAGAAAAGCCTCCTCAAACTAAACCTACTCTCCAAAACATGTAATTGACATGACGTTTACTTGTTGTCACATTGATCACTTTGCTTGTTGTTTTTCATACTCCTTCCCTCAATCCACATCTGTCTTGTCATTTAGCCTTATGCACTTGGACCAAGGACTGTCTTTGTACAGTGGCTAGCATAGAGAGACTCCATTTTTGGGCATCACTTAGTCATTGGGCACTACTGTAATAAGCATGATTATTAGTATTATTTCATGGGCATGTAAGTAGTTCCAGTTTAATGGTACTGTTCGTGTTTGTTAAAAGTGGGTTGCATCTAGCCAAGTATTCCAAATTTTATTAAAAGTCTTATTATTTCTCTGCCTATAAACTAGTGCACTGTGAAGTTCAACCAGAATTGTTTCCTATTTCTATTACTATGTAATGCCTAATTTTTGGTTCAGTTTGATGAAACTCTATTAACTGGAATGGGTACTTAATGATTTACTTTTTTTCCTCATTTTTTTTCTAAAAAGTATATTTGTGAGGTTGCCCCTCCCTCAGGTAAACATCCTAATATAAATCCTTTACAAATTTGTATAACTTGTAGAAATCTCAGCAATAACTGGCTTTTGTACAACGTCTTAATGTCAGTAACTCAGCTACGATTTTACTCTGAAAATTGCACCTCATCTCCAGTGTAACATTCTTTTATGTCCTTCCAGGCTGGTCACAGCAAACTAGGCCCTGGTCTACAGTAGGGAGTTATTGCAAAATAACCTCCCTTATTTCGAAATAATAAATGGAGTGTCCACACTACCAAACCCATTATTTCAAAACAATGGGATAGTTTTTTCAAAATCTATATTCCTGCTTTCCTTGGGGAATAACACTTATTTAAAAATTGTTATTTCAAAATAGCATTAGTGTGGATGCTCCGCTGCTGCTATTTCAAAATAACTACTCTCAAGAATAATTCCTCCCCAGTGCTTCCTGGGGCTCTAAGTTGAGGTAGCACATCCACAATAACAGAGCCTGCCTTGGACTAATTTCGAGGCTTCCCCGTAGAGGGGACACGCTTTTTTGATTTTGTTATTTTGGGAATTATTATTTCAAATTTAGTTATTTCAAAATGATTTTGTAGCGTAGACATGACCTAGATGTGATATGCAAGGTTCTCTGTAAGGTGTGCACCTGCGCACCAAGAAATTTGTTCCTGCACACCTCCTCAGCAGAGGAGCTGCGTGGCAGGTGACTGCCCACCCCAGGAGCAGCGGGCCAGCCACCACGCAGCCTGCATGGCGGCTGCCGGAGCTGGACTCTGAGCTACAATACTAAAAATAGTATTGGGGCCCAGCTCCAGTCCTGGCGCATGGAGAAGTTGCCCACCACATGGCCCAGCCCTTGGAAGCAGCTGGGGCTGTGGCTGCATTGCAGTTGATGCGCCCAGGACCGCGATACTAAAAATATCTCTGTGGGCCCAGCTTGAGTCCCAGCACACAGGGTGTGCTGCCCCATGTGCCGGAGCTGGAGACTGGCCATGGTGCAGCTGCTCCTGGGTGGTGGCTTCAATACTAAAAATAGCACCATGACCCTGGCTCCAGCTCCAGCACACAGGGCAGCCATCTGCCATGCTGCCCTGCCTGGTGGGTGCAGGTGTCAAGATGGCAGAAGGTAAGGGAAGGGGCAGGGAAAGCACTAAGGGGATGTGAGAAGAGGAAGGGGCATGTAGTAAGGAGAGAGAAAGGGGAAGGCACCAAGGGGCAGGGTGGAGGAGAGACAAATGCCAGGGAGCCAAGAGGAGAAAATGAGGGGAAAGGGCAGGAGGAGTGAGGTATGGGGGAAATGGGAAGGTATCAGTGGGGGTGGGGACAGGGGAGAGTACAGGGTGATGCTGGGAGAGGAGAGGGTAGGGGAAATGGGGGCAAGAGTAATGAAGAGAAGGGAGGAGTGGGTGGTGGGAGAAGAGGGGTTGAAAGGAGAGTTGGGCATGAAGAAGGCAGGGGATGGAGCAAGTCATTTGAGGGCGTAGAGAGGCATGAGGAGAATAAGGACAGAGGGTGGTTCAACATCTGCTGGTTTTGTTCAACATCTTTATTAATGACCTGGATGGATTGCACCCTCAGCAAGTTTGCAGATGACTCGAAGCTGGGGGAGAGGTAGATACGTTGGAGAGCAGGGATAGGGTCCAGAGTGACCTAGATAGATTAGAGGACTTGGCCAAAAGAAAGCTGATGAGGTTTAACAAGGGCAAGCGTAGAATCCTGCATTTGGGATGGAAGAATCCCAAACATTGTTACAGGCTCAGGACCGAATGGCTAAGTAGCAGTTCCGCAGAAAAAGACCTGGGGATTACAGTGGATGAGAAGCTAGATATGAGTCAACAGTGTGCCCTTGTAGCCAAGAAGGCTAATGGCATATTGGGGGTGCATTAGGAGGAGAATTGCCAGCAGATCTAGAGAAGTGATTATTCCCCTTTATTCAGCTATCGTGAGGCCACATCTCAAGTATTGTGTCCCGTTCTGGGCCCCCCACTATAAAAAGGATGTGGGCGCATTGGAGAGGGTCCAACGGAGGGCAACCAAAATGACCGGGGACTGGAGTACATGATCTATGAGGAGACACTGAGGGATTTGGGTTTGTTTAGTCTGCAGAAGAGAAGAGTGAGGGAGGGATTTGAGAGCAGCCTTCAATTTCCTGAAGGGAGGTTCCAAAGAGGATGGAGAGAGGCTGTTCACAGTAGTGAGAGATGGCAGAACAAGGAGCAATGGTCTCAAGTTACAGTGGGGGAGGTCTAGGTTGGATATTTGGAAAAACTATTTCACTAGAATGGTGGTGAAGTACTGGACTTGTTTATTTAGGGAGGTGGTGGAATCTCCATCCCTAGAGGTTTTGAAGTCTTGGTTTGACAAAGCCCTGGCTGGGTTCATTTAATTGGGATTGGTCCTTTTCTTGGGCAGGGGGCTGGATTTGATGACCTCTCTGATTCTATGATTCTAGGGCGTGGGCCCTAGGGGGGAAGAGGGCAAGGGGGGAAAGTACTGGGGGACAGTGAGGGAAGGGGGAGGCACCAGAAGGGTGCAGGGATTGCCAGGGGGATTTTGGGGGTGAAGCAGAAGGGCAAACATGGGGAGGGGAATGGCGAGGAGAGATGGGCACCAAAGGGCAGAGGAGAAAGGCAGGGCAGGTGAGTAGAGGGAAATGTTAGGAGAGGGGATTGGGAAGGGAGTGAGGAAGGGCAGGAGTCAGGACAGCAGAGGAGGGTGAGCGGTGGGGGGCAGCAGGCACCAGGGGAGCAGATGGGGTAAGGGAGGGTGGGAGACATAGCAACAGAGGGGGAAAGGGAGAGGTTTATAAGATAATTATTAATAACTTGGGTGCCACTGTGGCACACATCCGAACAAGTGCACATGACCTCAATATTGGTGCATAAGACAAAATTCACTTCACTCATGGATGGAAAGTCATAGAGGGAACACTGTTCTCTAGTGTAAATGACATGCTCTAGAAGACTAGAAGATTACATATTCTCTAATTTACAAGGACATATGTCATTTCATTGTAGGGGAAAGTTGAGTTACTTTACTTGTTTCTGAGTCATGTCATTCTAGTCCATTATTTTTATCCTGGCTGCAGATTAATGATGTGATAGGTGAAAACATTAATTTATTTGTGAACTCTCAGGCCCTTGGGTACTGGTCAGGAATTTTCACGCAATTTTTTTTTTTCATTTTTAAATGCAAAACTGTGTTTTTACAAAATCAAAATTTCTGCAAGAAAATGTCAGTTTTGCAGACATTTTTCGTTTTTTGCATTAGGAAATTTTGAAAAAAATGTTCTCGGTTAGTTCAACATTAAACATAGTTTTCCTCTGTCTAAGATGCCATGCTGCCTCATGGGAATTGTAATTGATTCATGCCCCCACTCTGTCCTATGAGTTGAATTCCTTGACTAGAGTACATCTTCCATGATGCATGGTCTCCCATCTGACTTACCCCAATGATGCATTGTGGAAGATATAGTCTGAGTAGGGAGACCAGCCTATTGAAAAGAATGAGGGTACAAAGCATATACACTACAACTTTCAGGAAGCTTTATCATGCTTTGCCAGATGATGTTTAATGTCAAACTGATTCACCTTGTTATGAAACATTTTCATTCAGGCCA